CATTTTCTCAGAAAACGTGGCCGCTTTGAAGCAGAGCTAGGATATCTGTGGTCCTCTCACTATGCCAGGGAGACCATGTTCTATTCAGCCCCATCCTCCTGGAGCCCCCAAAGGGCCTGGCACACAGCTTTCCACCAAATGTTTATTGACTGACTGAGTGACTGACTGAATAAAAGAATAATGAGCGAGCAAGTGTCTGATTTCCAGGAGAGCTGTGGAGCAGGTGCTGTCTAAACTGGTCGAGGTGCCTTGCTTGGAAGCACAAACTAGGTTGGAAGAACGCTAGCTAATAGTCATGGTCAGACATGGATACACTTTTCCAAGCACTGGAATACAGTAATAACAATGATATTTCTACAAATCACCTTTTATTTCTTCTTCTTCTTCTTTTTTTTTTTTTTTGAGACTGGGTCTCATTGGAGTGCAGTGGTGCGATCTCAGCTCACTGCAGCCTCTGCTTCCCGGATCAAGTGATCCTCCCGCTTTTGCCTCTCAAGTAGCTGGGACTACAGGCACATGCCACCACGCCTGGCTAATTTTTGTATTTTTTGTAGAGATGAGGTCTCACTCTGTTGCCCAGGCTGGTCTTGAACTCCTAGAGTCAAGTGACCTGCCTGCCTCAGCCTCCCAAAGTGCTGGGATTACAGGCATGAGCCTCCACGCTCAGCTCACCTTTTGTTTCTTCTCATTCTGCATACGTGGAATTTGCCGCATCTTGTAAGTCAGGCCAACTGCAGTTGACCCTTAGACAAAATGGGTTTGAACTGCACAGGTCCACTTCTGTATGGATTTTCTCCCACCTCTGCCACCCCTGAGACAGCAAGGCCACTCCTCCTCCTCCTCAGCCTACTCAACGTGAAAGAACAAGGCTGAAGCCCTTTACGATGAGCTGCTTCCACTTAATGAATAACAAATAGATTTTCTCTTCCTTATGATTTTTTTTTGAGACGTAGTTTCACTTCTGTTGCCCAGGCTGGAGTGGCCGCGCAATCTCAGCTCACCGCAACCTCCGCCTCCCAGGTTCAAACGATTCTCCTGCCTCATCCTCCCGAGTAGCTGGGATGACAGACATTCACCACCACGCCTGTCTAATTTTTTTGGTATTTTTAGTAGAGACAGGGTTTCTCCATGTTGGTCAGGCTGTCTCGAACTCCCGACCTCAGGTGATCCACCCACCTTGGCCTCCCAAAGTGCTGGGATTACAGGCATGAGCCTCCGCGCCTGGCCTTCTTTATGATTTTCTTAATACTGTAACTTTCTTTTCTCTAGTTTACTTTGTTGTAAGACTACAGCTTATAATTAACAAATAACATATGAAATATGTGTTAATTCACTGTTTATATTATCAGTAGGCTTGTAGTCAACAGTAGGCTATTAGTAGTTACGTTTTGGGGAAGTCAAAAGTTATCCACAGATTGTTGACTGAGGGTGGGGGGTGGGGTTAGCACCCCTAACCCTCATGTTGTTCAAGGGTCAACTGTGCTTCATTTAGTACATTGACTGAGAGGAAGGCTTTGCACATTCTTTATATTATTTCAGTCATTGTTCAACAAACATACAGGTACAACAGATGCTGTGTCTGTACATAGAAGGGAGTGGCAGAATGCTTTTTATCATGGTTTAATTTACAAATCTCTTGGCTTGGACTTTTAAGATCAACTTTTGATTATCTGGCATGAATTGCTCCCAATTTTCATTGGCTTTTCCCCTTTAGTAATGATCTCCAAAAGGAGTTGCTACAGTTTTCTTTCTTTCATTTTTACCTTTTTTAAGACAGGGTCTCACTGTGTCACCCAGGCTGAAGTGCTGTGGCATGATCATGGCTCACTGCAACTTCAGCTTCCCACACTCGAGTGATCTTCCTGTCTCAGGCTCCCGAATAGCTGGGACTACAAGCTTGCACCACCACACCTGGCTAATTTAAAAAAAAATTTTTTTGGTAGAGACAGGGTCTCACTCTGTTGCTCAGGCTGGTCTCAAACTCCTGGCTTCAAGTGATCCTCCTGCCTCAGCTTCCCCAAGTACTGGGATTATAGGTATGAATGACCTTGCCCAGCCACTAGAATTTTCTTGATAGAAGAGAGCTTAACATTATCATCTGGACTTCCTGTTTGAATTATGAGGACATTCAGTTCAACGTGACTAGGAAATGGCAAATCTCAGACCAGAGTTCAGGCCTCCTGTCACCCAGCCAGTGGTCTCTGCTTAGATGAAAACCGAGCAGATTAGCTTCACCATGCAATTGTGTACACTGCAGTCCTGCGTCCCCCTCAGCTTCCCTTCTTGATAACAGAGCTGCTTTAAACGCATGCACTGATCACTACCCCGAGTCTTAAACATGATGACGTGGTTTGTTTCTCTAATATCCCTCCTAAGAATTGACCCCAAGAAAATAATCGGAAATGTGCATAAAGATTTATGCACCAAGATGTTCATTACTGAATTATTTATAACAGAAAAAAAGGGAAAAAAGAGAATGTAGCCTCACAAAGAAACATCTATAGTATGGACTATTAGTCTGCCATTAAAATAAAGTTCTGAAGACTATTTAATGACTTTAGAACATACTCCGAATGAAATACTAAGTGAGGAAAGTAGGGCAAAAATACATGGTCATAGAACAATTGCTATCATAAAAATATGCGTTATGCATAGGAAAAAGACTGGAAAGAAATAGGCCAAAATGTTAGCAGAGGTCATTCATTCAGTGGTCACACAGTGCGTTTGCAGACACTGCTGTATCTCAGACGCGGAGCTCTCGCTGGAGTGGGTACCTACCTTCCTGGGCCCTACTGTCTGGGAAAATGATGGGCAAAATGACATTATTTTACAAATAATCATTGGCTGGGCATGGTAGCTCACACCTGTAATCCCAGCACTTAGGGAGGCTGAGGTGGGTGGATCACCTGGGGTCAGAAGTTCAAGACCAGCCTGGCCAACATGATGAAACCCCACCTCTACTAAAATTACAAAAATTAGCTGGGCGTGGTGGCAAGTGTCTGTAATCCCAGCTACTCGGGAGGCTGAGGCAGGAGAATTGCTTGAGTCCAGGATGTGGAGGTTGCAGTGACCCGAGGTTGTGCCACTGCAGTGCAGCCTGGGCGACAGAACAAGACTCTGTCTCTAAAAAAATAAATAAAATAAAATAATAAAAATATTAAAATAAACCTGTAATTACAAATTGTGATTATTACTATTATGAAGTCTATTTCTAGAGGTGGGATTATAGCTGACTGTCATTATTTTGGTTTTGTTTTGTATTCTTTTGTCTTACTTTTTTTTCTTTTTATGTTCTTCCAGTTTTTCTTGACATTTTAATTTTCTGACAGTGGGACTTTATTAGAAAAGCAGAGGACTTTTAGAAACACATAAACACAAAAGCCCAGGTGCTTGCATGGCTGCCAGTGGCCCCACTGACGCTGGAGCCCATGGAGCCGGTCAGAAGAAGCCTGGTGCACCTGCAGAGGCGAGGAGCCCCATCCCTGGAGCTATGTGGCTGGACGAGTTTCCTGTTGCTGCTGTAAAAATTCCTCAAACTTCGTGACTTAAGAGAACAAAGTTTATTTTCTTACAGTTCTAGAGGCCAGAACTGTAAGAAATTTAGTCCAAAATTGATCTCAGTGGGCCAAAGTCACGGTGTTGGTGGGGTCAGTTCCTTCTGAGGCTCTGGAGGAAAATCTGTTTCCTTGCCCATTTCAGTTTCCGGTGGGCACCTACAATCCTTGGCTCATGGCCTTTTGCTCAAATGCACCGCTGCTTCCATCAGCATGCGACCTTTGGCCTCTCTCTCTCTGTCTCTCTCTCAGCCAAGCCTCCCTCTTCATTTTAAAAGGACTCTCATGATTACATTTAGGGCCCACCTGGGTAATCCAAGATCATCCCCTCATCTCAAGATTCTTAACTTAATCACACCTGCAAAGTCCCTTTGCCATGTAGGGTAACATACACAGGTTCCAGGGATGGGGACCTGGAACTGCTGTATCTCAGATGCTGAGGTCTTTGGGGGCTACTTTGGGGCTTCCACAGTGGCCTGTCAAAAGTCTGCAGATTTACTGAATGTAAACCTTGTTAGCCAATCCCAGAATGGCTTTGCCTAATAGGTGTGAGTTTTTTCCATTTTGTTTTGCTTTTCTTGAGAAAGAAGAAAGGGTGGTCTGTCTGAAACTTCATCTGTGCCATCAGCACTACTGAAACCTTTGGTAGCTCTCTACACACCCCGCCGGGTCTACTCTGTTGAAGAGTTTGCTTGGCAGTTTGGATCAAAAATGGGAAGGATGTCTGTGTATGCAAATAAAGAGAGAGAGAGAGAGACAGAGAGAGAGTAAGGGGCAGAGACAGAGAGAGGGCGGGGGAGGATTATTGTAAGCTAAAGCTTGCATTTCAAACGTTCAGTCCAGTTAAAACGTTGACATCAAGCATTGTGTACGTTCCTGGGAGAGGGCTCTCTGAGTTGTGTATCTCATGGGTGTCATTGAATGTTATTGTTGCCTTGCTAAATATTCATGGATGAATTTGTGGAATAAATTCTCTTGTAAACTGACAGAGAGCAAGTAAGGCCTGTCCTTGAGTCTCTCATCTGCAACCTCATTTCTGAAAAACTGTCTGTTTGGGCACAAGTGTGTGTGTGTGTGTGTGTGTGTGTGTATGCAAAAGTGCGGGCACTACGTACTTGGCTAATTTCAGCAGAAGAATCCCATTTTCAGAGTAGCAAAGATGGATATTTCTAGTTTGGTGACCTCAAAGTAGGTGGTGCTTTAAGAAAGCAAGTCTTGCTCATTGAATAGCTTTAATAAAGGTGCTCCCTTTGCTGCCTTGCTTCAAAACCAGCCTCCTTTTTTTTTTTTTTTTTTTTTTTTTTTTGCATGCTGTGCTATTGCCGTGCTATTTATCACAGTG